CGGCGTTGCCTGACTGCTTGAACTACAAGGCCGTTTGGTTCTTCAATGCTTTTGGTGTCTGGGCCCGCGTGGCGAGGGCGGGCCACGTTGTGGCAAAGGCTTGCCCATTCGAAAGCCGAACGCCAGCATGACAACACACGTTGAGCCCCTGGCCTCTTTGGCCCTGCACCAGCTTTTGGACCAGTTATGTTATTTGAGGGCTGGCTGGCCGAAAGCTGGCAACGTGCAGGGCAACTTTGTCAACAACCTTCCGTAATTCTCAAGCAGTTTGGGCCGGAACCAGCGCACGCTGGGCGCAAAAACCTCTGCGCGAATTGAAGCAGCTCACCAGTATGGCAGTGTCCTGCTTCATGTCTTGAACAATCACGTTCCATAACTGAAGCTACTTGCGCGGCGTTGTGCTGCTTGGCAACTAGCAGTGTTGACCGTGGGATAGACGCATGCAGACACACGTGCTCGGCGCGACTTAGGAAGCCTATAGGCCACGTCATGTCAGAGTTAGATCTGGCGGCGATGTTTCTGCTCTTGGGACGGCCTGCCGCTTTCTAACGCGCGCCGCAATCCGCACCGCAACTGAGCAAACCAATTCAGAATCACAAAGTGCAAATACTCCAACTTGCTTTCAAGAAAAATTCACGCGAAAGGGGCAGCCGGTTGAAGTTGAAGGCTTTGCCGCATCAACAGACCCGGCATTCGGCTGCAGCCAAATGCGTTGTTTCTCGGGTTTGCGCTTCGTCTTCCTGCGGAAAACTGTCGCAATTTTGCTCCGGCATTCAGCTGCACCCAAATCCTTTTTTGGAATAGCGATGCAGGTTTGCTCCCGCGTCATTCTGCAGCCAAATGCGCTTTCGGGTGTGCGTTCGGTATGCGAGAGACAAGCTGCATTTTTTCTGGGGCATTGGCCTGCAGCCATGTCCGCTATCCGGATGCCGACGCGCCTTCCAGGAAACAAATCACAACCACGGAAAGCCAAGCACGGCGCAATCTGCAGGAAAATGCTGGGGCAGCGTTGTGACTCATTTTCGCGAAAACCAATCGCACTCCAAGAAAAATGTGTTTTTGGATACAACGCTCTCATCCCTCTTACGAATATAACTTGGATGATGGAATCGGGGGCTGCAGCCAAATGCTGGAGCAAAATCGCGATTGGTTCTTGAATACCTGTCGGATGCTGGGGAAAGACCCAACGCAACCCTGAAGCGGATTGCGCTGCAGACGCCAGCCGGAGCAAGATAACAATATATAGACTATCCAGAGAACCAACCGCAGTCCAGAGAAAAGGGTTTGGCTGTAGCCAACTGCCGGTTGCCTGGATAAGCCAAGCGCAATCCCTAAAGAGGACTTGTCTGCGGAGAGTGTGATTGGCTGGCTGCAGCCGAATGGCTGAAGCCGAACGCCGGACCAAATTGTGACTGGTTGGCTGCAGCCGAATGCCGGACCCAGATTGTGATTGGTTGGCTGCAGCCGAATGCCGGACCCAGATTGTGATTGGTTGGCTGCAGCCGAACGCTGGGCTCGAATTGTGATTGGTTGGCTGCAGCCGAACGCCGGGCTCAAATTGTGATTGGTTGGCTGCAGCCGAATGCCGGGCTCAAATTGTGATTGGTTGGCTGCAGCCGAATGCCGGGCTCAAATTGTGATTGGTTGGCTGCAGCCTAATGCCGGGCTCAAATTGCGATTGGTTGGCTGCAGCCGAACGCCGGGCTCAAATTGTGATTGGTTGGCTGCAGCCGAATGCCGGACCCAGATTGTGATTGGTTGGCTGCAGCCGAACACCGGGCTCAAATTGTGATTGGTTGGCTGCAGCCGAACACCGGGCTCAAATTGTGATTGGTTGGCTGGAGCCGAATGCCGGGCTCAAATTGTGATTGGTTGGCTGCAGCCGAATGCCGGGCTCAAATTGTGATTGGGTTTTTGAAAACCCGATCGCATTTTGAGGAACGGGTTTGGCTGCAGCCGAATGCAGGAGAGAGTGCAGGAGAGCATTGCGAGCGGTTTTTTGGAAAACCCGTCGTGTTCTCGAACTGAACCCCAGAGCAGAGTTATGATTGTCTTCCTGGAGAACCAATCGCAATTCACAAGAAAAAGCGAGAACGGATCAGCTCAGAACATTATAGTCGCCAAACAAAGCAGTGATTCATATGCCCCTGACACTGGATTGTGTGATTGGGTTTCTGGAAAGACAATCGCAAGATGAGGTGGCATGTGGGCCTGCCAAGTATGATTGGTTCCGTGATTTTGCGGTTGAAGAAGGTTGACGCTGAACTTGGCTTGTGACATCTCACTGGCGCAGGTGTTTACTCCATCGCAGCAGTTTTTAATCAGGCCAGCCCGCCGTCCGCAAAAATTGGAGGGGAAACCATCTGACCGCCGAGTTGCAAACCGACGTTGCGACGAAACAAAGCAGACGCATTTCACATGGGCACCCTGCTGCAGTCGAGTCGGGCTGGGCTTGCCTGTGACGGACTGGAAGTAGTGAGTGTAACATGGCTAGCGCTGTGGCAGATTTGCTTTCGGAACAGCCTCGTGACTCGTGACTGACAAGCCACTTCATGTATATGATGTTCATGCAAGAACTCGTAAAGTTGTTGGAAAACTTTGCGAAGCAATCTGCGCTCAGGCAAGTCAGGAGGAGCAGGCAAACCCTCTCTTCCACCCCCTCCTTGGCTCATTTCTTGTAGCAGGCCTTGCCCAGACATCGTCTTTCCCAGCTTAGTCGTTTCGGCAGTTTGGCTCAAACCAGCGCCCAATCTTGCGAAGCCGCACACCGTAGGAAGGCAGGGATCACGCCATTCCTTCAGATTCCGCTTGGCCAGCACCACTTCAGCCTTGTCAGTTTGAGGCGACGCAAATGAGAAAGAACTGCTGGCGGTGTTGGAAAACGCGTCATGAGCTGCAGGGCCTGGCAGGACACGCCAAGGACTGGTTCTTGCTGCCATGCGTGCGCGGAAAAGAGCTTCAGCGTTTGCGCTGGGGCTGCTGAACAAGGACACGCAAAACCGGTGTCATCCTTCGCGGGAGCAATGTTGGCGCAAAGTTCAGGAACATCCCTGAAGAACTGCACGAGCGTGATGCGTTTTCTCTTTTCCAGAGCAGCAAGATATGGCAAGATGTTGGTAAAGCTGCCCAGACATTATGTGAAATAGCTGGAAAGCACTTCATTCAACTCCAAACCCAAGTGAAGCCTGTGGCGGCAAAGCAGCGTACCTGTTTCCACCGCAATCTTGCATGCTTCCGCCGTAGCCCCGTCGCGCAATCAAAGCTTGGAAAAACGGCTACAAAACTGTCAACGCTGTCCAAAACAGCTGGTTGGCAGCCGACGCCTGCAAAATCAGAAAAAGTTCGGGCAGAGAAAGCGCTGTGTTTGCCGCGCGCCAAGCGTAAACGCATTTCATACTTCCGGCCTGGCACCATACCTTGTTTTAGCGGTGTAGCTACTAACAGCTGCTCGTTGCAATCGGAAATGCTGTCGCACTGCTCAGACTGGCATGAGGCAAAAGGCAGTTGTTGCAATAGACTTGATCGACTTTTGGCATGCACCCACCAGAAAGGCAACGCGCATGCCAAAGGTTGCGGCGGCGCTAGTGCACCTTGGGACAACCTGCGAAAAAACGCCGAAAAAACCTGACGCCTCCGTGGGCGCAAAAGGGAGTCTGTTTGAGTCCACGGCTTAGGCTTGGTCAAAGAAGGTGTTGCAGCAATATGAGAGTCGAACCGCAGCGCCTTTTAGCTTTCCAGTCATGCAGCGCACGTGTGTCTGCATGCGCCTATCACACGGTCAACACTGCCGGTTGCCAAGCAGCACAACGCCGTGCAGGTAGCTTCACTTATGGAACGTGGTTGTTCAAGACATGAAGCAGGACACTGCCATATTCGTGAGCTGCTCCAATTTGTGCACAGAGGTTTTTGCGCCCGGCCTGCGCTGGTTGGGTTGTGGAAAAGCCTTTCCGGCCCAAACCGCTTGAGAATTACGACAAAGTTGCCCTGCGCACTGCCAGCTTTCGGCCAGCCAGCCCTCAAATACATAACTGATCCAAAAGCTGTTGCAGGGCCACAGGGGCCAGGGGCTCAACGTGTGTTGTCATGCAGGCGTTCGGCTGTCGAATGGGCAAGCCTTTGCCACAACGTGGCCCGCCCTCGCCTGCCCTGTTCACGACGCTAGCAAGGTGACACGGGCACACCCAGGCGCCAAAAGCGTTTGTTTAAGAACCAAACGGCCTTGTAGTTCAAGCAGTCAGGCAACGCCGGCTAACAAACAAAACCTCCAAACGTGCAACGCATGGTGCGAAGCACTCAGGTTATAAGACAGCGAGCAACATACGACAGGGTTTGAAACGGTAGGAGACGAAGGTGCCGCGCCTGACCGGCGTTGAAATGGCCTGGTGACAAGGGAAGGCCACTGAGCATGTTGGTTTTGGCTGAGATAGCAACATGTTGCTTCAAGCCTGCAGTCACCTCAGAGACTGCCCAAAGTTTGCTTGATTCAAAAAACATTCTTGTTAGGGTTGTTCTTGCGCATCTGTGTGACATGTCCGTATACGAAGGCTGACAGGTGCTGCGCAGCTCTTACAACACAACGCAAGGTGATATCGCAGACAGGTTGCCAGAGCAGGTTTGCCAACGTGACATTGTAATCTAAGTAGGGCGCTGGCCTGACAAGGTTACGCCAGCGCGCAAGAACAGCCTCTGAAGCATAGGCGCGGTGCCGCTGGGCAGAGCCACGCCCTGCCTTGTGGAGCAACATTGCCACCAAACTCAAAGAGCCACTTAGACAGTGGCAAAGAGCCAGTTGCAGCCGGAATGGCATACATGCTAATCTGCAGTACTTCTCAACCTAAAACACGAGACCCCCCAGTAAGACCAGTTTGCAGCGAAGCATAACAGGATATACCTTCAATCACGGACAAAACGTGTAGCATTGAAAGCCAGTTCTTTTCCTGCGCCCCGAAACACCAAAATACACTGTTTGGATCACTTCGCACGGCCGTTGCGCTTCGCACCTGGTCTTCTCCACCCAAGCTTGCCACCTCCTGTGTAACCAGCTGCCCTGGCGGTCGACGAAGCTGGTCCGACAAACAACAAAATTCAAGCCTTCTTGCTTGGTCGTTGACCTACCCTTGCTGCTGGGTCAATGGCCTACCAGTGCCCTAATTGCTTGGTCAATGACCTACCATTTTTGCTTGGTCAACGACCTACCCCGTTTTACCATTTTTGCTTGGTCAGCGACCTACCCCGTTTTGCTTGGTCAATGACCCACCAGTACCCTTTTTGCTTGGTCAACAACCAACCTCTTTTTCCTTGGTCAATGACCTACCAGTACCCTTTTTGCTTGGTAAATAACCTACCCCGTTTTGTATGGTGAATGGCCTACCCCCCTTGCGGTTATATTCACCTATCACCGGTTTTGCTTGGCCAATAACCTACCCCTTTTTGCTTGGTCAATGACCAACCCCCTTTTGCTTGGTCAATGACCTACTCCTTTTGGCTTGGTCAATGACCTACCTCTCTTGCTTGGTCAATGACCTACCCTGTTTTGCTTGGTCAATGGCCTACCAGTACCCTTTTTGCTTGGTCAATGACCTACCATTTTTGCTTGGTCAACGATCTACCCCTTTTTGCTTGGTCAATGACCTATCCCTGTGTGCTTGGTCAACGACCTACCAGTGCCCATTTTGCTTGGTCACAGACCTTACCAACCCTTTTGATCAATGACCTACCCGTTTTTTTGGCTTGGTCAATAACCTACTCTTTTCGCTTGGCCAATGACCTACTCCTTGTTCCTTGGTCAATGACCCACCCCTTTTTGCTTTGTCAATGACCAAACAGTTTTTGCTTGGTCAATGACCTACCACCTATTCGCTTGGTCAATCACATACCCTGTTTTTGCTGGGTCAATAACCTACCATGTTTGTGGTCAATAACCCACCCTTTTTGCTTGGTCAATGACCTACCATTTTCGGTTGGTCAAGCACCTACCGCTTTTTGCTTGGTCAATCGTACCATTCTTGCTTGGTCAATGACCTACTCTTTTTGCTTGATCAACGACCCTTTTCTTGGTCAATGACCTACCCCTTTTTGCTTGGTCAATGACCTACCAGTACCCCTGATGCTTGCTCAATGACCTACCATGTTTGCTTGGTCAACAACCTACACTTGTTGCTTGGTCAATGACCTACCAGTAGTGTTCTTGCTTGGTCAATGACTTACCATTCTTGCTTGGTCAAAGACCTACCATTCTTGCTTGGTCAACGACCTATCTTTGTTTTCTCGGTCGATAACCTACCCTTGTTGCTTGGTCAATGACCTAACCCTTTTTGCTGGGTCAAAGACCAACCGTGTTGCTCGGTCAATGACCTTCCCCCTTTTGGCTTGGTCAATGACCTGCACTTTTTCCTGGATCGACAATCTACCCTTTTTGCTTGGTCAATGACCTACCCCGTTTTGCTTGGTCAATGCTCTACCCTTTTTGCTTGGTCAATGACCTGACAATGTTTGCATGGTCAATGACCTACCCTTTTTGCTTGGTCAATGACCTAACCTTTTTGCCTGGTCAATGGTCTACGCTTTTCACTTGGTCAATGACCTACCCTTTTTGCCTGGTCAATGACCTACCCCTTTTTGCTTGGTCCATGACCTAGCCCTTTTTGCTTGGTCAATCACCTATCCTTTTTGCTTGGTCAATCACCTACCAGTACCCTTTTTGCTTGGTCAATGACCTCCCCGTCTTGCTTGGTCAATGACCAACCCCTTTTTCCCTGGTCAATTGTCTAACCTTTTTGCTTGGTCAATGACCTACCCTATTTGATTGGTCAATGGTCTCCCCCTTTTGCTTGGTCAATGAGCTACCCTTTTTGCTTGGTCAATGGCCTACCCTTGTTGCTTGGTCAATGCTCTACCTTTTTTGCTTGGTCCATGACCTACCCTTTTTGCTTTCAGTGACCTACCCTTTTTGCTTGGCCTGCCCTTTTTCCTTGGTCGAGGATCTAACCTTTTTGCTTGGTCGATGACGCACCCCTTTTTGCTTGGTCAATGCTCCACCCTTTTTGATGTACCCTTTTGGCTTGGTCAATGACCCATGCTTGTTGCTTGGGTAATGACCTACCCTTTTTGCTTGGTGAATGGCCAAGCCATTTTGCTTGGTCAATGACCTACCCGTGTTGCTTTGTCAATCACCAACCCCTTTTTGCGTGGTCAATGGCCTACCCTTTTTCCTTGGTCGATGATCTATCCTTTTTGCTTGGTCGATGGCCTACCCCTTTTGCTTGGTCAATGCTCTACCTTTTTTGCTTGGCGAATGACCTAGCCATTTTTTACTTTGTGAATGACCGGACAACTTTTGCTTGGTCAATGACCTACCCTTTTTGCTTTGTTAATGACCTATTCGCTTGTTATTTGGTTAATGTTCTACCCTTTTGGTTTGGTAAGAACTCAGCCTTTTTGCTTGGTCAATGATTGTTGCTTGGTCAATGACCTACCCCCTTTCTACTTGGTCAATGTTCTGCCCTTTTCGCTTGGTGAGTATTCAACCCTTCGCTTGGTCAATACTCTAACATGTTTGCTTGGTGAATGATTTACCCCCCGTTTGTGCTTGGTCAATGTTCTGCCCTTTTTCGCTTGGTGAGTGTTCAACCCTTTTTGATTGGTCAATGACCCACCCTTTTTGCTTGGTCAATGTTCTACCCTGTTCGCTTGGTGAGCAATGACCTACCCTTTTGCTTGGTCAATGATACCCGCTTTTGCTTGGTCAATGTTCTACCCTTCTCGCTTGGTGAGTATTCAACCCTTTTTGCATGGTCAACGAGCTACCCTTTTTGCTTGGACAATGACCTACCCTTTTTGCTTGGTGAATGACCTTCCCTTTTCTTTTGGCGAGTATTCAACCCTTTTTGCTGGGTCAATGACCTACCTAGCATCATCATTGCACAACATTTTGCCAAACTTCCCCATGGTTGCCGGGAGCTCACCGCGCCTTGCCCTTCTCCTTGCCTTGCCTGTCGCCAAAGGCTCTGAAATAGATCTTGGGGCCAACAAGGTCAACCAGTTTTACTGGCCTTAGGTTGTCAACGTCACCCCAACAAGGAGAGCGACCCCAGACTTTGACCCACATAAAGAGTCAAATCGTGAGCCCCTGGATGTTTCTTTTTTTGCCAGGGCAACCCTTCAACCCCTTTGTATGTTTGTATGTTGCCTTGAGAATACCAAATGGAACCCACCCTTTTAAGGCTCTCCTCAAATTGAAATAGACCCAGGTATCCCCAATTGCCCCGGAACCCCCTCCGGAACACTCCCTAAAAGCTGCCCCAGAGCCTGTCTGGGCAGAGACCCCATAGCTTCCAGCTATTACGCAATCATGTTGCATGGCATCTGAGGCGATGGCGGAGGCAAACGGCGGTCCTGTAGATGGCAACTCCGTGGTTGCATGTTCGGCGGGACATGACCGAGATTCACAGTGCATGTCATCTATTCCAGAGACCGAGTCAGTTCGAGCCCAGCAACCAAACCAAGAGTTCCCAAAACCCAAAGGTTCCTCTTTGACCCAAGAGCACCCTGCCACACCAGTAACATGGAACTTGGGGCCGTCGCTGGTTGAGCCCACGAACCCAAGACAGCTGAGCCACAACTTTAGGGCTTGGGAATTGACGAGCCATCCCCATGAGCCCCGGTGCTCTAGGCGAACGTGCTTCGGTGTGCGCGGGATTTTCCCATACTTGGTTCCAACCAGACCCGGTTCGGTCCCATCAGGGCAACAAAAACCAGTTGCTCGAACGATTGTTTCAACATGTTACAAGATTTTGACACATCTTTGGCGGCCAGGCAGTGATTTGGACACATTTTTTTGCTCACTGGCAGTACAAGGGGGGCCAGCATGTCACACAGAAACAAACCATTCACTGAGATGCTGAACTCCCAACTCCAAGCTCCTTGGCGCTGAGCTCCAGCCTAGCGAGCTATCGCCGGAATCAAAACCAGAGGTACCGCAGCACTGAAGACAAAAAAACACAAGGCCGTAAAGAAGAAGAACAAGGAAGAAGAAGGAAGAAGAAGGAAGAAGAAGGAAGAAGAAGGAAGAAGAAGGAGAGAGCAGAAGAAGAAAGCACACATTGGTGATGAAGAAGCAGAACATGGCAAAAGAAACAAATAACCCGAACGGGACCAAGAATAAATTCATACCCGCCCCAACCAACAATACAGCTGCAGCGGGAACTACGTCAATCGGAATGATCAGTGTCTGAGTATCTGCCTGCTTGATGAAAACGATGTTGTTGCAGGAGCTACACCAGGCTCCTGAGGGACTGAGAATCTGCGCAAAAATGATATGCCAGTCCGAACACGAAACAATGCAGCGATCCAACTGCCAACGCCATTGCAAGAGCTGATTAAAAAGAGAGATGAAGACATTGGTGCTCTAGCGACTTGATGAAATTGGAGCCATATGAGCAATGGTGCTTGTCCTCGTCTTGACCTTCATCTTCATCGTTCTCGTCGCCTTCTCCTTGCTTGATAGAACTCTAAACAAATTGTTGGGCGGGCCCTTGTTGTTGCGGATGTGGACGCAGAACAAAAGGATTTGGAGAAAGGATCCCTGGCACGTCAGTGGTTCGATCAATGTTATATCGTGGTCCGACATCATACTCTCACATATGCCAGCAGTGTGGTCCTGCGTTATCCGCGAGAGCAAGTCAAGGTCTGTTTGGGTGGGTGGCAGCTAGGCATGTACTCTAGCTGCATTGCCAGGGTGCTGTTGCCGTCCAAGCTTGCTTATATAAGTGGTTTCTGGAACAGATCTCACTAAGATCTGTCTATAGCATGGAATCACAACACTGAGCCCCACTACACAACACACAGGTCGGTCTCAGAATCAAGAGCCCTGTCCGGCTTTTGGGTGGAAGCTCCTTCTGCTTGAAGCCTCTCGGACACGTCGGACTCCGCCTCACTCTCGGCTGCTTCTTCTGCCTCCGGCCTTACGCCAAAAATACCCTGCCAGGGATAAAAGAGGACCGTTAGAACTGATCCAGTCAGGTTACGGCCGGCTGTTGGGAGGCCAGCCCGAAACCTTAACATGACAACAAGAAAAACAAAGAAACAAAAACACGGCAAGGGCGGCTTCATGCGGATGGACGCTAAAAGTGCAATGTGGTTTAGGTCTGTAAGGGCGGTTCTAAGTGACCTCACATGAAAAAGCTGGGCACATTTTTCCGGCACCCAGCCAGCGGGTAGTCTGTTGCCGGACCGGAGGGCAATCAATAGGCAGATTTTCCTGATCCGAAGTTGACATTGTGCAATCTAGGTCCTCAGATTTGAGAGGTTAGAAAAAGGGTACCCATTTTTTTTCTTTTTTTGTCTATTTTAGTAGGGGAACCCTCCCAACCAAAAAAGGGGAGAAGGGCACTACTGGGGGACCTAGGAATGATGTCCTTCCAGTTTCCCAAACCATCCCAAAGGTGCTCCATGCCTCGGCTAATGAGACCTATTCTCCCCCCCCCCCCCCCGCGTGCGTCTGAAACGTAAGGTTGGAGGAATTCACCCATCCCCAGCCTCTGTACCATCCCTCGTCGCTTTTGGTATCTTCCTTTTGGTGGGAGTTAATTCCATGGTGGGTTTATGCCTAATTCATCATCTGACTTCCCAAATGCTTTGAATTGTTGACTGCCATTGTTGACTAGGTCCTCCAGTAGCGAGGCTAGAATAAGGGTACCCTTTTTTTCTGTACTACTGGGGGACCTGGTTGATATACCCCTCACACGTTTGATTTATTCGCCACTTTCAATTGCAGAGGAGCGGCTTCAACGGTACACGCAGACGCAAGAGCTCAGCCTGCAGTACCTCCACATTTCGCCTAAACGTGGTACGCAAAGGGCTGACTGTTTTGCCGAAGGCAAACCAAGGGAACTTGTTGTTCGGTTACCGGTTTCTTGTTGGAGAAAATTTAGGGGTCGCTTTACCCCAGACCACACCATCGGCTCTCAAACATGGAGGTCGATTCCTTGACATTATTCCACCACCTAATTGAAGAAAAGAGGCTAAGGTAGGCAAGCTGAACGCCATACTGCGATTCTGCATGGACGTGCGTTGCACGAGAATGTGGCACACAACTTCTAAGGTTTGTTCTATTGCACCTTGGGATTACACCCACTGGGAAACTGCCGCCCCCTCCCCCCTGACCCCCCCCCATTGGGGCTGTTTCCAAAAAAAGTTCTGTGACTTTGTCCCATGTTGAACACCATGGGTCATTTTCCTAGGGCCTTGACTTTTAACGTGCACAACAACCATGACGCGTTGGCAACCATTGCTTGAGCCGACTCAGGACTCTCTCGTCAGGGGCACTGAGAGAAGCTCCTGGAGTTGCTCTTGCGCCGCCAGACCCTAAGTCACATCTGACCGGTAGTCAAAGGCGGAATGTAGACTTCCGAATCTATGAACCCCTGGTATGACCCCCTAGTATATGGGTTCATGAACCGTTAGCTACGGTTGGATTATGCAAAGCCAGCCCTGGAAGGGTCCAACATGGCCATGGGTTCATATATGGACCTATATTATCCTATATTCGTCTTTGAACGCTGGGACCTGCGGACCTACAAACAGCATGGAGCCAGGTGATGCAAAGCAGAGCTTGGATCTGAGGAATTCGCCTCCAGGTGCTTGGCAATGAAAAGGACCTTTTCGATGGTCACCACCTTGGGCTCGATGGAGTTCCACACAACGAATAGAACCCAGGCCACCCTTTGAGGGGTCAAGGGGGCACAGCGCGAGCCTGATCCGTGCCGTCAAATGCACGAAAGGCGTGCCATACCACCTGCCACATTCGCACCACTCACGTCACTTGCAGATCGCTTCAGATATGCGTCTCAAATTTCAGGGCCTCTCTAGGCGGTGGCTGGATTCCTTTGGGTTTCAAGTACAACCTATGCAAGTCCCTGATTTTGAGAGACCAGCCACACTCCCTTTTGGGTCACAACACACGCTTGAAGACCAAAATGAACCAAAACTGGAGGTGTGTTTGGGGAGTGGCAGTCGCCACGTTCATCCTTTATAAAGAAAAAATGTGTCACCAGCTCCTAGAATCTTGAGTTGTTTCTATGATGGTTTCCACTGAAAGCTAAATTGAGGCGGCATAATGTCCACCTACGATTAGTAAACTACCCCTGCTAAATAAAGCTAAACACGTTCCCAAGCCAAATAAACTACCCCTAAATAAAGCTAAATGGGATCCCCCCCCAAAAAAAAAGCTCTGATCCCTTATCTTTATTCAGGGGCAAGCGCTCCATTCAAGCTGGCTCATCAAAAAATGATTCCAATTCCATCAGATCACAACATTCGTGAGTGCTTCCCTTCATCAAATTCTTTGTCTGGAAACCTTCAACAATCACAACTTGACCCTGCCAGCAAGGCTAGCCCCCATGAAGCCTCATGCACTAAATAATTCCTGACCCTAAATAAAGCTAAGCTGATTCCCACTGATGCAAAAGTTCTTGGCCCAATACTACTTTAGAATTGGCCCAAATCTAAACTAGTATTCCCCCCAAAGCAAAATAAGAAAAAGAACATGCCCAATACTACTTGAGAATTGGTCCAATTCTAAAGTAGTATCCGAAAACCAAAAAAACAGTGCCCAATACTCTAAACACATTCTAAACTTTTCCTGACCCTGATTTTTTTCCCCTTAACTTCATTTAGGGTCATTCAGGGGGGGGCTATTTATAAATCAGAGGCGGACACTATCCCATCAAGCCCCTGGTGGTAGCAGCTTGGTGTTGCCCTGGAAGCATTCCCTCTACCGCCTCTTCGTCGCGGGATGTAGCTGGAGGTAAGGTGCACGCCTGAAAGTGTCAAAGACAGATCTCAAACGACGAAAAACCAACTCAGCAAAGTCTAAGGTCCACATATAGACAGACAGACAGGCAGACAGACAGACAGACAGACAGACACAGACAGACAGACAGGCAGGCAGGCAGGCAGACAGGCAGGCAGGCAGGCAGACAGACAAACAGTCTAAAACCAACAGACGATCTTAAACCTCCGAGACAACCAACAGACCAACAGATACTCTACAACATTTCAGCCGCATCCTCAATGCAAAGACCAAAGTCACAGCTTCGGAATCAAAGCCGCGCCAACCTTGGAATGGACCCAGCGGATTGAAGCATCGTAACCGATTTCAGAGATGTTGCACTCCGGGGCGAATTAACACGGAAGCTTGACTCTGGATCCAGAACTTTGCAGATGAATAGAGGGCATTTGCCCCAAAAGGTCATCCGGCTTCGCTCTGAAATGCTTGCACCCCTATGAACCCGTTGATGATTTTGCGCAGGTCATAAATTCGTCACAGCTCGATCAATCTGAGCTCCCATCTGCGAACTCTCGGCTGTCCAAGTACCTGCGGCATGTGGCTTCCAATGAACTTGTCTTACAAGCCATTCAGGCTGAAGCAGGGCAATCTTCACCGTCTGCCCTGCTCAGATGACTGGCCAAAAAGGAGTCAAGCAACTTGTTGGGCCTATGGAAGTGAAGAAATCGACCCACAAAAGGCTGTAAGCTTCCATCTACTCAGGCCGAAGACCTCACTGTGGTTTCCAACTCAAACGCCTCACAACGAACCCCAACGAAGGCGCACCCAGATCCATCCCGATCTGCGGCTTCAAAGAGACTCTCAGGGTCCTGGCTTCAGGTCGTGCTGAAGTCGACGGACTTTAGCTGGCTTCTTTGACTTAAGGCCGGCCCCCGAATTTGGAAACAAGCGTAACCGCCGCTTTAGCCGTTGTCTTTGCGGAGGGGTACGACATTGCAAGTACAACTCTGGAACCCTTAGACCAAGCAAAACCAGCAAGAGAACCGTCACATATTTCACAAACCAGGAGTGTCTCAGTACCAAACATGTCCTTTGGGTGTCTTTTTGGAGGGTACCCTTGGGTTGGTGCTGGAGAGAAGCCAGAAGAAAAATCACCATTTGGGGAAGGGGTCCCGCAAAAAGAGATCACCATAGCGTTACTCTCCTAGCGTTGAGCCACGTGCAAATGATGTCCAAGATTCCGGACTCAGGCTGAAGGATCCCCTCGCCTGCCGAGACATGTGTCTACCCTCCTTTTTTTCTCCGGCCTCCCCGAGCCGCTTCACCAAATCCGGGAAGAGGTGCAGGCCCTGCGCACGCGAAGGCGATTTCCAGGGCCCGAGAAGGGTACTAGTTAAGTCCTCCAGTAGAGGGAACCCGACAGGGGGGTCCTGGAAGACCATGTTCCTTTTCAAGGGACCCCCTGTCATTTCATCTGGTGGGAGCGTAATCCCTATTGAATCAGGTAGAACCAGCTACTCGAGGTCCTCCAGTAGAGAGTTTAGAAGGGTACCAACTTTTTCAGGGCGTCTATTTTAGGGGAACCCTCCCAACCAAGAAAGTTGGTGAGAAACCGCACTACTGGGGGACCTAGAGAACCTTCTGATTTTCAGGGTCAACCGTGAACATATTTTCAGGGTCAACCGTGAACATCCGCCATGAAGGATCTAAATCCGTGAAGAATCTAACTGAGGGAACCCCAAATTGGCTGTTCCCATGTCAAACAGAACAAAACAAAGTGGCATAAAGTCTTGGTGGACATCATGTACGTGAGATTCGTGCACAAATCCGCGTCAGTTGCCCCCATCCATCTTGAGCAACCTGGGAAAGTCGCTCTGATTTGCTGGTTCGATTAAAGTGACATCCTCAAACTTACCCTCTAGGTGGTGTTTTAACGGGAAACCATCCCCAACGATAGTTTCTTCGAGAAACGTTCAGCACGTTCAATTTCTCCTTAAAACCCTTGGTATGGGCTTGCCGACGACTTGCTTTTTGGCAGCCCCCCCCAACTAACAATGAACAGAACCCAACAAACCTACAAACCAAACAGCTTGGTTCAGCCCCCCCCCAACTAAAAATGAAGAGAAAACCAAAAAAACCTACAAGCATGGCAACAAAAAGGTGAAGTTCATGGACCCAGATGGCTGTGGCTCAAAATGAAACAGGAGGGGGTTACGCAGGTGTTGGTCCATGTTTCCACAGAGCAACCCATTTTGGTGCGGGTTTTTGAGCCACAGCCAGATGCACTGGTTCCTACGCGTGGATGACCGCCGGCGCCTGCATGAACTCCGCAGGGCTCAGCAAGGCGTCCCGGTCCCGGTCCAAGGCGCGGAAGACACTGTTCGCCTGGAAAATCTCGGTGTTTTGCCAATGAATGTCTTAAAAAACAGCTAAAACCCAGTGTTTTGCTGTTTTCATCTACAAAAACACATTCCATGTGTATTTGTGTGAGGCTGCCCCTTTGGGGATACTTCTGAAGGGAAACCAAGAGGAACCCCGTCATTTTGAGGGTGCCCAAAGGCATAAGTTGCGTCAACCGGTGTTTTAATGGGGGTTGAACCCTTGGGGTTCCAGCCACTAGTGCTTGTATTGTAGCCCATCCAGTTTGGAGTAGTGTTCTTAGCTTGGACATGTGTTTTGTTTGCATGCTTTAAAACAAAAAAATAACCGAAGCCATGGCCATGCTCGAAACTTCGTGACTCCCTCGACAGGAATCCTTTGTTGGCCCCTGTATTGAGAGGTCCATAACCATTCCTGCCAATCCTAAGTGAAAGAAAGCTCCGAAACTCCCGTCACACGGGTAGAAACCCAAGGAACCAAACTAAGTTGCACTGAGGTTTGACGGACATTTCACATCAAGGCGTGTCTATGTTGGAGCGTACTCTGTGTGGGTCCGTTTATATCAAGGGAAATTGGGGTTGGACATAAATCCTCGCGTAGATTTGCAGTCCTCCAAAGGCTTCTCGTTTTTGGGGGATTAAAGGGGAACCCAAAGGACAACCGTCCATCATCAGCCCGAGCTCATTTCATGATCAGGGACCCCATTTGCCGAGGTTTTGAGGGGTGCCTTTCCGGGTTGTAGCTTGTGCGGCCGACGAGAGGGGAGTGGCCCCAAAACAAATCCCCTCTCGTCCTTCCGAGAAGAAAAAGAAAAAAATCCTCAGCAGCCCCAAAGAAAAGAAGATCCCAACTTGTTGCCATGCTTCCAGCCTAGTAAATTTCCCAAAGCTGAAAATGGTTGTCCAACCGAAAGCCAGGGCGGCCTGCTCCAGGTGAGAGTCCACCTCCGGCATCTGCTCTGCAATGACCCGAATGATCAGCTTCTTGAACTGACTCTCCTGTGGGTGCAAAAATACGGGTGGAAGCCAACATAATTCTAGGGGTTGATTCCGATTCCATTCTTTTTAACCATCGTTCTTTCCAAAACCAGCTGTTTCCCCTGGGGTTCTGATGGTTTTCTGGAAAGAAGGATCCCTGGAAAGAATGGGGACCCTAGAAGAATAGTGATTTCCTTGTGGAATCCCTTTTGAGCCACCCCCAAAAAGGGTACCAACTCCTATAGCAGAGCCCCCTAAGGTGGCTCGATGCAAAGGCGAGCGAGCAAGTGCTGAAAGGGCCCGGTTGTCCATTGCTGGTCAAATGGTGGACATCCTTTTTAGTTCCTTCCGCCCAAACGTGGAAGTGCACAGACCGATTTTGGATGTCGGCATTGGAACAGAGGGCCATGTTGGGAGGGTTGCCTCGTCAGTTGATACAAATCAGGTGCGCTCCTTGAGGAAGTTCAAGCTGTTGGCGAAGAGGCGGTGCATCTTAGTTTCCATTACCAGAGGCAGGTTACCAAAAGCAACACCCGTTTGGAATGGTGACGTTTCGTGCGGCAAGTCCAAACAGAAGCTGCTTGGTTGGGGGCCATGAAGCAAATCAAAAACAAACAAACAGCTATATAAATGATTATATATATATATATATTATGTATGTACCAGTCCCTGGGCCACGTACCCCCCCCCCCCCAATGGTATGGTCCCCCCACTCCCCCGCATCATCCGCATCTTGGGGATAATGCTGGCAATGCTGGGGATGCTGTCCAGTACCGTGCGAGCCCTGCAGCTTCGGTCCCAGACCCCCCGTGAACCAACACCCCCGCACCCCTCGCAACATCCTACCCTAAACCAAACCACCCTGCAACCCCTCCTTAACCCCAACCCTAAACCTAAATCAACCCAAACCCCAAACCCACCCGAAACCCACCGCAAACCAACCCTGAACCAACCCTGAACCAACCCTAAACCAACCCACTAAGCCTCAACCAACTCCGAACCACACCCCAACCACCCCACCACCCCACCACCCCACCACCCCACAACCCCACCACCTCACCACCCCACCACCCCACCACCCCACCACCCCACCACCCACCCACCTGATCCTGGGTCAACTTTATCCTTGGGCAGGATTGAGACTCAGTTTTACTCGTCCTTATTTTGATCGGATCCCTGGAATATGGTCCAGTCCAAGACACAGATCCAGCTTTGGAGGATCCTCGAAGGATATTTTGGGATGGTGGGGGAGTTGGGGGGGGGAGGGGGGGGGGTCCACGGCCTGGAACATATATACACATACGTATGTATGTGTATATATATATACACACATATAGGTATATGTATACACATAAACAAGTCTGGCGATGTGGTCCAAAACAGACAACCCGCCCGCCAGCTTTCTGCCCCTGTCTTGGGCTCCAGGCACGCACCAGGGGCACTGGCTCCCTAGCCAATTTCAGCCAGGGGTGGCGCAACATCTCCTCGGCACGGCTGAGCCATTTGGCCATGGGTCAGGTGAATTCACCTACCAACCAAAATGGTACCACTGGTTTTTTACCCCCAGCCAAATTTGTCCGACTGAAATGCCCGCCTTTTAAAAGGTGCTTGAGAGAAAATCAAAAGGATACCCAAAAGACACCAACCTTTCCCAGGAGTGCAGTTCCTGTTTTGGAAACACTCTCAGCAAGTCTGTCCGACTTCCCCCTCCCGTTTGATTTCTGAGAAGGCCGTCCCCTTTTTGTCGGGAATCCCCTTGGTTGATCTTAAGAGAAATCCAAAAGGAAATGCACCATTCGTTGGCCTCAAGCAGTCTGAGTGAGCTGGCCGCGGCTGAGGGTCGCAAACTAGAAGTCACCCGCAACATGCACCGCACTGCCTGAGCTGGCGAGAAACAAATACAGGTGAAAGTAGATGTCACAATTCCCCTTACGTGTCGTGAACTTTGTTAAGGGCCCACCTCAAAAGCCCTTGGTGTACACGAAATCCCAACCTGATTGAAATTCCCATCCTGGCAAGCAAAGGGGATGACTGATCCAACATGGAAATTGGGACATCTGCTTTTGCCCAACTGCAACTGGTTTCTTTAAAAAACGCTGGGTGATTCAACATGGGCGGATCCCTAATTCTATTCCGGGTTCGTGGTACACCACTGCCTATCATCTGGCATAAGGATTCAGGATAGATGTTGACCAACCCACGCGCCTTGGTTCCAGTGCCCACTCCAGTGATCCAGCATTTTGATACATTTTGAGCATACCCCAAGAATCGCATGATGTGGGTGCTCTGCACCAAAACACATGCTGAACTGGTAACAAACGCTGGCATACTTGTATTTACACTGTTTCATGACGTGTAAGCCCAAAGGTCGACATCCAAATAAGCCGTCGAGCCGGAACCCGGAATCTGACTATCCAGAATTGCACATTGAGTATGACAAATAATAATATGTATAATATATATATATATACATAGATATATTTACAGCATGACATATCTCATAGATGGAGGTTATTCAAAATGAAGGTGACAGGCCTTTCGCCTTCCGCTTGAAGCCTTCGGTTTTCTTTTCGCGGGGCCAAATCAATCTTGAATGTTGTGCTCTGCTTCTTTCGCAGCAGTTGAGCCACTTGCCGATGAACTGCTGGAAGTGTCGCTTTTGTTCCAGTTGAAGGGCTAGCCCCCACTTTGGCAGCTCGCACTTTCGCGATCCTTTGGCGGGTGTCGCCAGTGAAATGGTTTGCAGTCCTTTTGCGTTCCATTCGCCAGCCTTTGCCGCACCCGCGAATTGGATTCGCCCCAAGGCCGCCACGTCTAGACACTTGGAGGAGCGGCTTTCCCAGTCCTGCACATGGACCGCTCATGGACTTCAATCCTGGGGAGGGTGAGGTTAAGGTCACACGAACAAATTAGGAAGGGTTTGTGGGAAATTGAAATTGCGGGGCTTCCCGTTCTCGACCTTGCCACAACAGTACCAATAAGGTTGCCACCTACTCACACGGGACTTTGATCCTGCAGATTCAGGTGGTTCCACAATCAACCAGGGGTTTCAATCTCGATACCCAGATGTGTTGTTGTGGTTGTTGTGTATTTCGGTGATGAACCTCCACACCGTCCATTTTACAAAAGAACTGCTAGTCTTCCAAACCCTACGATCGTCAGCTTCCATGATCGTTGGAGGGAGGTTACTGTTTAAATGGGTGTGTCTTTTTAGGGGACCCCCCTTTTTCCCTTGAACCAACCGCAGACAATGGCTTTGTTTCTCAAGAAAGGCACACACACACACACAAATGGAGATTCAAAAAGGGAAGCCAGCAGCCACTCAGTGAGTGCCAGGCCGACTTGGAGAACTTGATGGGCTCTGCTTGCTTCAGGTCCTAACCGGGTGCAACACCAAGATGCTCGGAACCCAAAAACACGTGGCGGTGTCGTTTTGGCAAAAAGACAATTCAGCACCATTCCAAAGGAAGACCAACAGAAAATGTCGCGCGCGAATAGGTAAACCCTCCATCACTGCATGTCCCTGGCTCCAGCACGAACAAGACGTCGTATTGCAAGCTTTAAAGGTGCGGTCCTTCTTTGCACCCTCCCGGCTAGGGAGGAATGGTGGAACCTTGGAATGCAACACACCCGACTGGATGCAGAGACCCGCCCACTGGGCCCACAGAGCCTTGGACATGTACCAGAGTGGGTCATTGCCATCCCTATGGCTACTTCCTTCACTAAGGAGATTCCCCAAGGATAGTTAGGTGAACTTCCTGCCATGGCTGTCGAGATGAATGAACCAGGATGCGGAGAGTCTCATGTTCTTGATGCAAGCCCACGTGCAGGCGGGGAGGGACTAGAGTGCCAACAGCCAGGATGCCGGAGTAAGGCTTGGTACCAGTGAGTCTTGTGCCTTCTTGGACAGGCTCTTGCTCGATGGGGTTGTGCTCTGCAGGAGCTGGCCCACTTTCGCAATCGACCGAAAGCCATCCAAATGATCAAGGAGGTGAGGCACAGAATGCGCGTGTGGCTTGAACGATTCGTTTCTGTCGCTGCTTAATGGCTTCCGCGCTGGTGATCAAAAGTTCGAGTCAGCTTCTACCAACCACACCAGAAGCACGACGCGCTCGCATCTCAGGTATGCATATGCATCAAACTTTCTGAGTGGCATTCTCTACTTTCCAGGGATTATTTTTCCCAAGGAGAAGGCAATGCCTTTCTTCAACTCAGAGCAGCTGATTGTTTCAGCGCACTCAAGGAGGTGAGTATGACCAGCCCCTCATTAGACCACACGGTCTCATCTATCCCAACTGGTTGGAATTGGATTTCCACTTTCCCCACCAAAGCCTTGGACCCACGACCTCAAACTGGGTCCATTGCAGTGGAATAAAGGGAAACCGGGTCCCAACAGATACTGTTTGACTCATGTACAAAGACCCAAACAAATTCAGGTCTTGAACATGCAACGCCACTTCCGGCCCAGAAACCAGGTCTTGGGGCCCACAGCCGTGCACCCAAATCGCTGAACTCAGGCCCCAACACCCGTCAGCAAGCGGTAAGCCAGCGCGCCCACAGCCCAAATGTCAGCCTCGCATGCAGCGTGCATCTGGCAGCCTGTGAATCATTGGTTGCGCTTCGGTGAAATTCATGTTTGGACCTTTTGCAAAACACAATTCAGTATTGGTCCTAGTTGTACCTTTTGGTAAACATCAGAAACTTGTGGTGGCATTACGCAGATGAGTGAGGATGCTAATGCCCCGTGGCGGAAACTGCCAATTCCTCCCTCTCGCCTTGTCCGCGCCCTCCGGTGCGAGACCTCGCAAATGTCCGTCGATCCTCGCCAAAGACTGCGACATTCGGCAGTGCAGCAAAGTCCCAAGGGGAGTTGCACTTCGTTTGCAGTTTGGACCAACTTGGACCTCGTCTACTTGGGGGTTTTGGAGGTCCACCTGTGGAGGAGGGATTGTGTGGACAGCATAAACTTGGAGGTCATGTCGAAATCGAAGCGAAGCCCTGCACATCTGAGGTTTGGGCAAGTGCAAATCCGCTTGCGTCCTGGGCCTTGCCTCCTCCGCTGGCCTCAACTCGGGTTCCATTTGAAGGCCTCTTTGGCCTCTGTCCAATATATTTTGTTGACCTGGTTGCAGCTGGGGTATGTTTTTGTTTAACACCTGGTTCAAGGTTGGTTTTTGACCTGCGCACAGCCCAATGGTCTTGAATCTCGGCGCTCTTTCTCAGAACTCGAGTTGAAACGGCGAAGCAACACCACGGAGAACAAAGTAAGTCGTTGAGTTTCAAGTTGACATATTCTCTCCAGGGTCCCGCACCCATCTGCTTGCACCGCTAGCCTGGGCGTGGCCTGCTCGGGGATAGAGGAAAAGGGTCCCAGGTGGGCTCTAGTCGGCGCTCACATCGGTCCTATTGGGAAGGGGGGTCCTTTTAGTTCTTCACACAAGAACAAAAAAACAAACACACATGTTCCTGCGAGTACCTACGGTTCGGACCGTCCTCTTCAAGTACCCAGGCTTTGAGTGCGACTCGCATCAGAGCTGAAAGCCAACGCATTCCGACGCGCTGCTCCGTTCGCCTTGGACACCTCCGAAGACATGAGGGGCTCTCCTGCGATGCGCTTTGGCTGGAGAAACCTACCGCACGCAGAAGCCAGGCCTCTCTCTCCAGCCGAAGGCGCCTTTTGGCGTATCCGCTCCACAACCATTCACTCCACTTCGCGTTTTCTGCAAAAAAGCCAAAGGAGAGGTGATTCGAAGCCTTTCAGCCAGGGAAAGCCAGCTGGCTGCCATCGCGGTTCGCTTGAGGTTCAAAAGACCCGCAAGAAGTCTGAGCCATCCAGGCCATTCTCTGAGCGAAAGGGAGCCATGGGCCCCAATTCCGGGCATAGGCTCAGTGTCGTCCTACAAAACCCGCTCCATAGGGAAAGAGCAAAGCGCACGGTCGAGAGCAGTGTGAATTTCTTTGGATACGTGGCACCAACAAGATGTGTATACAGTATACATAGTGTATATATAAATATTATTTGAGTATATGTTTGAGTGCGTCTTCTCTCGGGAAGCCTCCGAAATGGTGGTTGTCCTGTTGGTTTGCTTTTAAAGCAAGAGGAGATTGATCTCGGTATGCCCCAACAAGGGAAGTTCATCCACAGTAATACAGTAGTACCAAAAAAATGCTCCCTGTTGATTCCCCTTTGACAGTGGCCAGACTCTGGTGGCTTCCAACGTTTCTTCACCCCGCGGATCTCCTTGTGACTGGAGGCAGTTTCGCAGCCTCTCCAGGAACTGGTCTTTGGACTCGGTGCCCGGATGCATGTAAGGCAAAAAGGGGACAGTAGCCGCATCTCCAAGAGTGTGGGTGTGTGTGTGTGTGTGTGGGTGTGGGTGTGCGTGTGTGTGGGTGCTGAGGAGATTGTAGTTGGACTTCCTACTAAAAAATCCGCAAGGGATTTTTCCCGTTTTGAGACCTGCCCAATGCGCCGTGCTCAAACCCATGATGTGGGCCTCGTGTCCACGACCACCGGTGACATGGTGGCTTCCTTTAAGCTTCAATTGCAGCCTATTACGTGATTGGAGTTAGGCTCAGTTATAGAATGTATATGGTATGGTTTGCTTCACTTGGCGTCACTGGTAAGATTAAAAATGTATCCTAAGTCTACCCCAGTATACCACAAGGGTACCTTGTATTTGAATAAGTACGGCAGCAGACAGGCGGAGCTTGGAAGACCGGACCATGCTTCAAAGCTGATTCTTGGAAGGGTAACCATCCAAGTAACACACGCCTGCACCGTCAAACTACCCTTGACAGTGGGAAATCCCTAATTAATTCTGGGCTATATCCCATTTCAAGGGTAGTTTGAGGCTCCAGGCACACCAAATCTTGTCAACCATGCAATGCCAAGCCCGACATGCGAGCATCATGACTAACCTCAGCTCCGCACAATCAAGGACTCTGCCGCTGTGTAGGGCACGCCTGACAGGAATCAAAGGTCAGAATCTACAATCGAAAGTAGATGTCACCTGCCCATGGTTCTATCATGCTCTGCGGACACAAAAAGGAGCGCCATCTACTTTCATCTCGTGCGATGGTGGATTCCCCCATGCGGGTACGGCGACAACATTCAGGCAGTCCATTGTACGTAGGGTCAAACAATTGTGTTCGAGGGTGCTACATACGATTCCCATGTGATGCCAACTAGAATGTATTTGCTAGAATTTGCTTAGATTCCCCTGAGTTTAAGTCACCTGCTACTGACTTGCAAAGAGACATAGTTGAAAGCCATGACTGTCTATCACCGAGTGTGCGATGCACGAGCGTCACGCAAGGATCCAGCCCTGTGCATCCATGCTATCTGAATGCATCCCAGCCGCCTTCGCGCTTACCTGTCATGTTGCGGTCCTGGCAAGCGGCTCTCTGCTAGATTTGCCGCCGTGTCAACGCCGACTTGCATGACCAGCCCACTGAGCAAGTCGCGGTTAACAACACCAGATCGTAAGTCCTTTGAGGGTTGTAGTGAGGGTAAACTCTACTGAGGGCAGACATTCACCAGGGCTTACTGTACTAAGCACATAGTGAATGCATGTACTAAGCACTTAGTAAGTGCACTCAAGGGTAAAATTGCAGCTAGACTTGCCAGTCAACAACTTTCTGCCAGCCGTCCTCGACGGAAAGATGTTGTTTTGCTTGATGACGGCAATGCAATATTCTTAATTGGGAAGCGGACATGAAGCATGGATCGATTCATGGTTATCTGAACCTACCGCAAGGCTCCAGCCAAAGCCTCGCAAACTGAAAGGGATCCCCAAGACAGCTTCACCACTCTTGTGGTCTTGGATCCGGATCGGTGAGATCCTTTGTGGTGTGCCCAGGTTGAATGACTGGGCTTCAAACATGTTCCAGGAGTTGCTTTTGATATCTTCGGATGACTGGATTTAAAACATGTTCCACAAATTGCTTTTAAGATTTTCGGATGACTGGATTTAATCATGTTCCACAAATTGCTTTTAAGATTTTCGGATGACTGGGTTTAAACATGTCCACAAATTGCTTTTAATATGTCCGGATGACTGGGTTTAAACATGTTCCAGGAGTTGCTTTTGATATATTCGGATGACTGGATTTCAAACATGTTCCAGGAATTGCTTTTAAAACTTTCGGATGACTGGATTTCAAACATGTTCCAGGAGTTGCTTTGATATTTTCGGATGACAGGGTTTCAAACGCGTTCCAGCAATTGCTTGTGAGATTTTCAGATGACTGGATATCAAACATGTTCCAGGAATTGCTTTTAAGATTTTCGGATTACTGCATTGAAACATGTTCCACGAATTGCTTTTAAGATATTCGGATGACTGGATTTCAAACATGTTCCAGGAATTGCTTTTGAAACTTTCGGATGACTGGATTGCAAACATGTTCCAGGAGTTGCTTTAATTTTGAAACTTTCGGATGACTGGATTTCAAACATGTTCCAGGAATTGCTTTTGATATGTTCGGATGACTGGATGTAAGCATGTTCCAGAAGTTGCTTTTGAGAGTTTCGGATGACTGGGTTTAAACATGTTCCAATAGTTGCCTTGGATATTTTCGGATGACTGGAATTAACCATGTTCCACGATTGCTTTTAAGATGTCCGGATGACTGGATTTCAAACAGGTTCCAGGAATTGCTTTTAAGATTTCCGGATGACTGGATTTAAACATGTTCCAGGAATTGCTTTTGAAACTTGCGGATGACTGGATTTCAAACATGTTCCAGGAATTGCCTTTGCAATTTTCGGATGACTTCATTTCAAACATGTTCCAGGAATTGCTTTTGAGGTTTTTGGATCACTGGACTTCAAACATGTTCCAGTTCCAGGAATTACTTTTGAGATGTTTTGGATGTTGTGTGAGTTGTGTTTCAAAATCGACTCAGGCTGGGCAAACTGCCGAAGCTGGAACGAGGCACAAGCGAATGGGAGGGGGTGTCAAAATATGGCCTCCTTGTCTGACCCTGGTACCGCCCAAGGTGCCTCCTACGCGAGATACCCTTCTGCAAGTTGTGTGCTTACTTGTTTATTTTGCTGTTTCAGTTGTTGTCGTTTATTTTTTAATGACGGGTCCTTTGACAGCTCCTTCTGAATGAAGAAGCCCAGCGGCGGGACCAACGCCTCGGACCGGGTTCTGAAACGAAGTGGATAGACAAGTTCAATGAGGCACCCCTTCCAGTAGGGTTGTTTGTTTGAGGATACCATTTTGGAGGGTGGTTTAACAGCGAACTACTTGTTTTGGGGTCCCCCCATTTTGACACGTACCCAAATGATGGGCATAAATCCCATGTAAATGATGTCCACCGAAAACGTGTTGGGGCTGCTTTGCAGGGAAGCCAAAGGAAATACCAGCCCGCAAATTGCGCGGGTCCCATATTTTGGGACACATCTCAAGGCAAGCCACAATGGGTACTGCACACTGCAGTACATGCAAAATGGGTGTGTCTCAGCTCGGAGTTCCTTTGGTTTCCCTTGAAAGCAATCTGGGTTTCCCCTACAGAACGACAAGCCTAAATCCCAAGCGTGCAACGGAAGCCTGGGCTCCTGACATACCCAAGGCCAAAGCCAAGAATCTTGACTTGCGGAATCCTGCCCATCGCTCACACGGATTCTATGCGTCTGTGAATGGAGGACCACCCTGTGTGGATCCGTTGTTGGGGAAGCCCTGGTTGGTTGGATGTCAAAGGGACACCTAACGAACACCATTTTGGATGTTTTCCTATTCTAAGGCACATTTGCTTTACTCGCCCAGTTTGGGCAACCACTCGTGTTGAAAATGGTAAGCTCTTGACTTCAACCGCGGCAAGGGCCTTGAATCCAAACAATGGAAGCACCCTCACCTCGCAGGACTCCCCGGGCATGTCTAGAGGGCGTCGCATGGGGACGGGTCGTCTGCGAGTGTTGTGGTCCATGATCAGGGGTAACTACATTTCCGTTCTGTAACATCAGACAACATCAGACCAAAAGAAACTCATTAGTCAGTTTGCAGAGTTCTTTATTTACTTTATCCACCCTACAATCACAGCTAAAATCGCACCGAAAGGAAACACACCAACATAGGTTCCAACTAGATTTCCAACCGAACATCAACCACCAAAGAGACACTCACTTTGAATTGGCCGGAAAGGCTGGAGCTGAGTAGGCAATAACCCATGGATTTCGCAATGGAACGTCCGTTTCTATGGATCAACTCGTTCCCTGAGAACCCACCGATGAAAACATGAGACCGAGTCGAGTGCGCCTGGAGGCCCGTGACTTCGACCTAAAGCTGCCCGAGCTCGCGGAAAAGTCGTTGGAGCGGCAAGGGGAAACCCTTTGGGCATGGCGAAATGCACCCAGTGTTTTGTGCATGCCCGAACTCGTCCCGTGGTAAATGGCCTGATTGGATTTGCGTCCCAAGTTCGGTGCTCCAACTATTCAAGTTGGGCTCACTGCAAGAGATCAGGTTCATGGTGGGTGACATTGGCCATTTTGTTTCCACATCGGAATGTCGTTCTTGGGGATATCGGAAGTCCGTTGAAAAAGAACCCAGGGCTTCCGAATCTGAGATCCCCAGGCCTTGACTTTTGGTGTATGGGCAGAAAGGTTTGCATCGGCCTCGATAAAGCCGGGCCAATAGGGGCTTGGAAGGCTGATCCTTTGGCGGTGGGTCAAAAACTGGGTAACCCCAAAATGGAACCCTGGTAAATGGAAACATGGACTGCAACCTGTGGTCCCCGGGTGGCTTTAATTTTGACCCACACCCATTTGGAGGCAATTAATTGAAAACAAAAAAACTGGACGTCTGAGCAGCTGGCGACCCAATGCGAAACTTGTCTGGAGTCAGCATGCCGTGGATGCATCCTGCAAGGCGAAGACATTCCAAGTTGGGCGCCTGGACCTCCAGAGTTCGGCCCAACTCTGCAACTGCATGGCTTCCGGTTGTATCAATTTTAGGGACCCCTTTGGGTGCTGTAGGGATTATGTTGAGAAGAAGCGTTGGTGTTTCATTGAAAGACCAAACAAAAGGGCTCCCCCATGCTCGGAAACCGACTCGTCGGATGCGCGCCCGCGCTCCTCGTGCATGCCCGTGTGCTAGTGCAGAGAGCACTTGACGAAGCATCTCCGCAATCTCAGCTGGATTGGGACTTTGTGAATCTTTCCAGGGTCAGGGTCCCCTAAAAATATTGCTGTTTGCTAAATGTTGGTTAAGTTCATGTTGTACTTCTGTATCAATGGCAATCAAGCAAAATAGCAGCAACGTTTCGTTGCTCCAGGCCGAGCTTCTTTCGCCATCATCTAGACATTTTTGAATAGCCACCATAAAGACTCAGTCGGAGCACGTTGGAAAGGGGCCAGGAACGGGGTTTGGTGCACGATGACCAGGTGGGATGCAATCGCTCTGTTTGACAACAAAAAGTTCAACCCGGCTTGGACAGGTGCGCTGAAAAGCGAAGCAGCCAGGTGCTTGTCACAACTAAAGTGTAGGCTCATTGCCAAAGTAGTAAGGGAAACCATGTTATCATATCGAAAGGGCTTTTGGATATCACACCTGGGTATGTCTCATAGCGCGAGCCCAAAAATTATAGTTTTCCTTCGGTTTGCCTGTAAAAGCTTCACAAAACACGCACCTATTCACAGGAGTCACCGATCTTCATCTATCCCAAGTGGCTCACAGATTCTGCAAATGGGTACCCTCCCCCCCAAAATGGGCAGTTTCCCTTTGCTTACCTTTGAGTAAAAGAGCCCTTCCCAAAAAAGACGCACCATGGGTGTCACGGGGTCTGTTTTGAATCCCCAAGTTGGCGTTTTGCAAGGGAAGCTAACAGGCAAGCCTCAATTCTCAAGCTGCCGCCTAAGGTCCGGGCCACTTTCTCATCTTTGCGCATCTGCGAAGGCTCCAGCGAAGGCCTGCGCCGGGGTTCACTCTGAAGTCCCCGTGACAAAAGATTGAGTGAATCCCCATGTCACTCCCAAATGGACCAGAGACGGAATATTTTCACCCTATCGATTTCCAGAAGAAAACACAAATCCGGATAGCTATGAGGTTGCCTCACATCATTTAGTCGGCGACTCATGTCCAACTCGTTTGGAGTTGGTTTTCGGAGTGTCATTTTCACAAAGCCTCGCTCTGCTCTTGGGCACCGCGCTCTTTCTCCCGAGTCCAAGGCCTGAAGAAGATGAATGACTTGCGCACTGGCTCACCGATGGAATGAACCAACTGAAAAAAGGGGTCTCTTGGGTTCCATGTGAAGCTGAGAACAAATGCCACAAGACATATCCCATTGTCAAATAGGGGATCCCCCCAAAACAAAACAAAAAACACAAAACAAGGAACAAGGAACACAAAAAAGGTTCCAATATGATAGGCCTCATTAGTCGCTAAAAGTCCTTGTTGAGATTTTGGGGCCTTTATTGGAGGCCCTTGACAACCCTAGGATTCTAATGGAATGAGCCAAAAACAAAAAAGTGTCTCGGTTCCATGTGAATCTGCGAAGAAATACTCGGCCTGAAGCAAGAGACCCCCCAAAAATACTTCGCCTGGGGCCACGGCGAGCCAGCGAAGGATGTCACAAGTCGGTCTTCGAAGGGCTTCTCGCCTCAATGCACAGGCAAGGCACACTTTTTTGGATCGAATTCGCCTGGCCGCGTGTACGGCTAAACTGTCCCTTGTCCACACTCCGCAAGTTGACATGCTCAAAGAAAGGTCCCCCGAAAAGGATTCCTCTGGAAGGCGTGACTCTTTGGCGCGGTTCCATGTTAAGTTGCAGGCACAATTTGCTTTCAGGGTCCAACAAGCAATTTACTTTTGACTTGCATACAATTCGCTTCTTGACTTGCAGGGTCTTCCCCAAAAACGGCGTCCACCCCGGGCTCCATTAAAAAAAGACGACGTGAAGACGCCAGTTGCAGCAGGCTCGCTGATGAGAAGCCGCTCGTCCCCGGCATCGAAGCACTCCACCACCTGCCACCGGCTCCGGAGCCTGAGTCCAAAAAATGGAATCAAAACCCATCCAAACCAGTGGAACTCGATTTTTAACCAGGCTCACCTAAGAAGGACAGCTATGCCACCAGGTGGAATGGGTCAAGGTGGGAGAAGAAAAGCACCGGCAACTTTTGCGTTGGATCGGTTCCAACGTTCGAATCATTTTTGCAATATGGGAACTCTCCCACAAGGTTCATCTTGCTTTTCTACAAGGAAACAAAACGTTCGACTCATTTTGAGTTGCCCCCAAATGTGGACACATCGTCGCCTTTCTTAAGTCCGTAAGAGTAACATCCATAAAATGATCCTCTGCATAGTGGACCCAAGGAATCCCCAAAAGGACTTTGGAGAAGCTCCGAAAAATGATTCTCAACCCCCCCCAAAAAAAAAAAAACAAAAATGCAGCCACTTTCCTGGACCCAGTTTCCGCATCGCCTTGCACAAATGCGGGTGCGAGATGGAGCACAGCACTTTGAGGTGCTTCTCCAGCTCGTGGTCCTGCTCAACATGGGCAGCTCGGTTTGGAGGGGACGCCAAGTGGAGTATTTTTGTTGAGGCTCAGTGCCTAGCGTCTCCATGACCCTTTAACAATGGGGCCAACCCATTTTTAAGGTGTCATGGAGACTCCAGGTACTCTTTTTGGGGTTGCAAGCGAAACGAAAAGGAAACCAATGGAAGGGGCCAAAGCCGATGCAGTTTCAGAACTGTCGCAGCAATTACTTGAACATTTGGGGAGTTTCAAACGGAAAACCCTAGAAAAGCCGTTACCAACTGGGAGGAGAGGGGGATTACATCCCCAAAATCTGAGAAACACCGCAGCGTAGTCAACACTACGCAAGCCGCCTTCAAGGGCGAGATGGTTTTCTGGATATGGAGACAGCTGTACAACCTCAGTCAATCATGCAGTGATTCAGAGCCATAAGTCATTGGTGACTACTAGAACCTAGCCCAGTGACTATTGGGGGTCAATCCTTGTTGTATGACTCAAAAGTCTAACCAAAACACGTAACAATCAGACCAAATATCCACACCTATGGTTGAAACTGTTTTCTATTCCAGGCTATGAGGATCCGACCCACTCTTTCCTCGACTCTCCCCCTCATTTTTCCCAAAGCTTTTGGATGGAAAGGATCAAAGGGACGGGCTTGGATCCTGCTCACACGAGGCTCTCGCGATCCGATGCCCGCTCGACGCTGAGGGCACTGCAGCTTGGTGTGAACCCCTTTCACGTCCTGGGTGCCTTGGACCGGCTCGGAATGGGAAATGAATTCCCTTCAACGAGGGCGCCGGGTCCCCTTTGGCAGTGGTTTCCTTCTCCCAGGAAATCCACCATTTGGGGGGTTGATGAAAAGGGTCCTTTGGATGGGTTGGAAAACCACTAAAAGGATAATATGTCCCACTAAACGGGAAAAGTTACCTGTGGTCAGTTGGAGGCCGAGGGGAACATTGATCACCCCCTATTTGAGAAGCTTGCGAAGAAATAGAGTAGCCTCTCTAACGAACAAGGTCATGGGCCAAAAGATCCAGGCTCCATGGGAGTACCCGGGCAAGAAATCCATTGAGTCCAAGGGGGGGGAGAAAAAAACAAAAAATACCCAGGTAGCCTTCCGAAAATGAGGGTCATTCAGAGAGCTTGATCTCACAGGGCTAGAATGGTGATACATATGTGTATATATTCATATACACATCATACGGGTTTGTCTTAAGATTCAGGGACCCTCAAAGGAGGTTACCTAAACAAGGCACATACGGTCACATACGTATGGCCAAGTCGAGGGTGCGACTCTGGAACCCTTGAAACATCGCAAGAGGCAGAGCCATTTGAGGCTGCTTGGATATTCAAGCCATGTAAGTGGGACGTAACCATGGTTGTACGAGAAGGAACCCCTGCACTTCCCCACCTGCAACCATGGTTGTAATGACCCAAGTAAGCAAGTTGCTCTTCCTGCTCGCCATTGGCACACTCACTCTCCTTCAACCCACAAAGCCATCAATGAAAAACCCTTCATCAGCATACGCTATTTAGACAGTAGAATGGATCGTATAGTGGTCTTATCTTGGATAGTCCTTTGCCAAAACGCGTCATTTCATCAGCTACGATAAATTCTACAAGGTTAGCCGAAACCCCTGTTTTGATGGGTGTTTGGCGAAACAACTGTAGAATGTAGGCTGGTTTTGTAACATTGTTCCCAACAACACCACCAATGGCCATAGAGTTTTCTCAAACATATGGTGGCTGGATCCATTCGCTTTTTGCTTGCCCAGCGACGCACGCCTTTGGTGTGCACCTCAGCGGCCAGCCAATTCGGCTGAGTGCCAAGGTCACGATATGCCTTTGGCTATTTCCGTTCCAGGATACATCCAACAAACACCGACGTTTCAAGGAAATCCTCCAAATCAGCGTGATTTGTTCACTGGACACTGTATCCTTTAAGGGATCCTGGCATTTTTTGAAGGTTTGGGTTTTAAGGGACAGAGGAAGCCAGAAATTTTGGGGGACAAGAAAACCGCACCCATGATGGTCAACATATGTGTGGCTTCCGAGGAAGGGGAAAGTGAAGTGAGTCCCCAGCCCCGACTTTCAGAATCGATCTGACAAAGTCATTCTGCTGCCACAAGCACCGAGGTTCACTCCTTTCGCCACCAATCCAAAGCCAAGCCACGGGCCAATACAGCAGGGGTTACTCAGCTTCCCTCTAGTTGGTGGTTTGCTTTGGTGGTTTGGTGGTTTGGTGGTTAGGGAGTAGTTTCCCACCTACCCTCTACAGGAAGCACGGGGCTCAAATCCAAATCCAAACCACCTAATCCACCAATTCAGGGCAACCTGAGTTAACTCACCGAGGTGCCCAAGTGCTCGCGTCCAGCTCCCCTCCTGTGTCCAGCTCCTCGTAGCACTCGTAGAAGCCCTGACCAGAATTTTTCGGAGCCGGCCCAAAGCCACAAAACGCACCACTTGGGATAAATCCTGAGTTGAATACCGATAAACCACCAATCCTAATTGGTGGATGTTGTCCATCCGTTCTCTCAAAGATGGAGCCTAAAAGGGACACTGCCTCTTTATGACCGAAAGGCTTCATTGCCACATCTCAGAAGGCCCCTTTCCACATCGCGATGTGCTCCTCCCATATGACCCGCCAAGTGGTTACGTTCCACTCAACAGACATGGGGGAGAAGGGGTTGTTTCAGCTAGCGAACGCCAGTTGTGGACACCGAAGCATCTAACCATTTTGAGGCTCCGCATCCCATCTTGAGACAAACGAAGCATCTGAGTCTCCCATAGCAAAAGCCCGGAAAGATGGTTGCATAGAATGGTACGGCGGAGAAGCCGGCCACAAATGGGAGCTATGGTAAGATGGGTTGTTCCTATGCCAACCATGGCACATTTGGGGAAGTCTACCTCAAACCACTAGTTTCTTGGGAGTGGGAAAACTCTTGACACCACAATTTTGCTCGGGTAACTTTGACAATGATGCTTTAATGGACCCAGAAGAAGGGATACAGCCAACAACCACAGGCTATACTCCTGTCCCTTCGTTGTATCCTCTAATTGTAATGCCCGTGGTTACGCTGATGGATGTGGAGCAAGATGTGGAACATGACCGTTTGTTTTGATTGGCAAGCAAAACTTAGTTTTGAGACTCGAGCATTCCAACCATGTTGGGAGAACCTTTCCAGGACGCCACACCGAGAGTATGTATGCATCTCATATATCTGAGAACGAGCAACAATAACAACCAGAGCCCCAAAAAGTGACCCACTGGAAGACCTAGGCATAATATGGCTGTGGGTCAAAAGTAGGTAAATGGATACATGGACTAAAACCAGCGGTCCCCTTGGTGGTTTCATTTTGACCCACACCCATATATACATATATATATATATATATATACATGAGCCCGTGGCCCCAAAATCTGCGGTCGTGGAAGACACCGCAGTCGAGATCTCCCGCCTGGTCGCTTTGGACTCCAGGCTTGGGCCCCGAGGCGGGGGCCGCGGCCACCTGAGACCAAGCCGTTTCACGGGTTCAACTTGCGATCGGTGCGAGGGAACGAGAATTGGAATGACCCCTATAAAGTAGGTGCGACAAGTAGGGAATCAGGGAAGGACCCCTATAAACCATCCCCTAGGTGCGATGAGTAGGGAATGAGAATTGGAATGAACCCGCCTATCAACCATGTGCGATGATTTCATTCAAGGGAATCTTCAGCTTCATTCCTGCATTCCCTGCTGAGCAGCAAGCAACCTGTTTCACGGGCTCCCAAGGGAAACCAAAGAGAAAGCAACGAGGTCCCTGTCCAAATCCCTGGAAAATACATGTCTTGGTAACAGAAAGCCAACTAGAACGCCCAAATGGGCCATAAAACCCATCTAAACCAATACCCATCGATTTCTATTCAAACTCACCGATCAAAAGGACACGTATGAGCCTGAGGGAAACCGAAAAAAGAGGGTCTTTCTGACAGGGGGGCCCCTCCATTTTCCTTTTAACTCCAAAAGTGGCAATTCCAATGGACACCACCAACTTAGTTTGTCAATTGTTGAAGCGGAAATCCAGTCTGAGGGATTTCAAAGGAACACCCAAGAGGTTGTCATGGGTCTATGAGGAGCTTGGCAAATATACCGAGAGGAATTCGGAATCATGTTTGCTGCGCATAGAAAAATCGTTACTTCTTGTGGCCCCCCACTGAGATGCGCCCGCGCACAAGGTGTATGCTTTTCTGAAGGCTTTTAAAGAGAGGGTATCGTTTTGGGGCAAACCAAAGGAAACCTCTCGACCGGAATTCGTCGGGCCATACATAAGGAAGAGCCAAGGAGCCACAGATAATTGAAGTCTGTATCAAATGGGGAACTATGGATTCCCAGTTACCAACGAATTTTAAGAGTTGGAAAGCACCGCAAAACCGGTTGGAAGTTGAATCCCTTAAGATGCTGTTAGGGTCTTTTTGCACCCACTAAAGTTCGCACCCAACCTCCATTTGCTTAAAGCTCCTGGAACAAATCAACATATCCAGTGATAGCTTCCCTTCAAAAACGGCTGGGAAAACACAAATAGTAAGCAGATGAATAACAACGTCAACAACAACAACAACAACAACAACAACAACAACAACAACAACAACAACAACAACAACAACAACAACAACAACAACAACAACAACAACAACAACAACAACAATAGTAATAATAATGATAGTAAAAATGATAGCAATGAAAATAATGATAATAAAGTAATAACACGAATAATCATAAATAAAAACACTAATAATGCAAATATTGATACTATTACTAATAATTTAAAGAACACTAATAATAATACCAATACTAATATCAATAACACTAATAATAATAACAACACTAATACGAATACTAATAATATTAGTGGAAATAATAACGCTAATAAAACAACATACCAATAATACTACTACTAATAATAAAACACTAAAAACTAATAACACTAAGAATACAGATTCAGACAAAAACAGGAAAACATGCAAAAGCACTGGAAAACAGGGGCCTCCACAGCGTTACACCCACTATTATTAGTGTTATTCGTAGTGTATTATTATGTTTAACACTAGTAGTATTATTCATATTAATACTATTATTGGTATTGTTATTATTCCGTCATTGCAAGGTGTCATTACAAGGAATCATCATCATGAAAGTCATTGCAAGGTGTCATTGCAAGGAATCATCATCATGCAAGGAGTCATTGCAAGGAGTCATGAGAGTCATTGCAAGTTGCATGGAGCCAAGTGCATGGAGTCAAGTGCAAGTTGCAAGTGCAAGGAGCTAAGTGCAAGTTGCAAGTGCAAGGAGTCAAGTGCAAGTTGCAAGTGCATGGAGTCAAGTGCAAGTTGCAAGTGCATGGAGTCAAGTGCAAGTTGCAAGTGCAAGGAGTCAAGCGCAAGTTGCAAGTGCAAGGAGTCAAGTGCAATTGACTTGCGAGGAGTTAAAATCTCTTCTTAGGGCGGCGGGGTAGTGCCGACGACACTCTACGAAAATCGACCCTCTGCGAGGATTGGCGTGGTCGAGGTGCAAAAACTCGTGTTTTGTTTGGCGATTTTGTTTTGGCTCGCGCGACCCTCTGCGGGGATTGGCGTGGTCGAGGTGCAACAACTCGTGGTGTTTTTTTGCGATTTTGTTTTGGCTCGCGCGACCATCTGCGGGGATTGGCGTGGTCGAGGTGCAAAAACTCGAGGTTTTTTGCGATTTTGTTCTGGCTCGCGCGACCCTCTGCGGGGATCGGCAGCCCGCGCGACCCTCAGCGGGGATCGAGGTTTTTTACGATTTCTGCGGTGCTTGCGCGACCCTCTGCGGGGATCGGCGTGGTCGAGGTGCAAAAACTCAAGGTTTTGTGCGACTTTTGTTGTTCGAACTGGTCCTCGGGGGTTGTCTCGTGGTTCGCGCGCCTGCTCCCGGAACCGGCGAGTCGCGGGTTCGATTCCCCCCTGGTCCGAGGGCGGGCTTCGCAAGCTGCACGGAGCAACTTGCATAGAGCAACTTGCGCAGAGCAAGTTTCACAGACCATTTTGCGCAGAGCAACTTGCACAGAGCAACTTGCACAGAGCAGCTTGCACAGAGCAACTTGCGCAGAGCAACTTGCGCAGAACAACTTGCACAGAGCAACTTGTACACAGACATTTGCACAGAGTCAGTTGCACAGAGCTTCTTGCACAGAGCAACTTGCACAAAGCAACTTGCGCAGAGCAACTTGCACAGAGCAACTTGCACAGAGCAGCTTGCACAGAGCAATTTGCGCAGAGCAACTTTGACAGAGCAACTTGCGCAGAGCAACTTGCACAGACTGAACAACTTGCACAGAGCAACTTGTACAGAGACATTTGCACAGAGTCAGTTGCACAGAGCTTCTTGCACAGAGCAGCTTGCACAAAGCAACTTGCGCAGAGCAACCTGCACAGAGCAACTTGCACAGAGCAGCGTGCGCAGAGCAACTTGCAGGGAGCAACTTGCACGGAGCAACTTGCACAGAGCAACTTGCGCAGAGCAACTTGCGCAGAGCAACTTGCACAGACCAGTTTGCGCAAAGCACCTTGCCCAGAGCAACTTGCGCCGAATGGTCACGGGGCTGTGATGCTTTCGGGCCAACCGTGGTCTAGTTGTATTAAGTGTCATTATTATTATTACATATTGTTAGTAATAGTATTATTTTTAGTGTTTGTTTATGACTAGTATTGGTTTGCTTATTTTTGTTATTAGTGTTATTATTACTGTTATTAGTGTTACTATTACTTTATTATTATTAGTATTAGTATTAGTGTTCTCAGTATTATTTTTCATTAGTGTTCTTCTTACTGGTGTGGTTATCATGATTATTAGTGTTTTTATTCTTAGTATTAGTACTATTATTTGCTTTATTGTTATTATTCGCGCTATTATTACTGTTATTCTTATGAATATGAGTATTACTACAACTGTTATGAAAATTATTAGTGTTATTCTTGTTATTAGAGTTATTATTCGTGTTGTTACTATTATTACAGGGTGTAACGCTGTGGAGGCCCCTGTTTTTTCCAGTGTTTTTGCTTGTTTTCAGCGTTTTTTATCTGAATTTGAGATCCGTGCTGTACATCTCAAATGACAAAACTGTCAGAAGAAGATGTCAGATGTCCAGATGTCAGCGCATGCGCATGCAGCCTTTTTTTCACCAGTAGCCGGCTCTCATTTCTATTGGATCAGACATCGTATTAGGACGCAGGCACACTTGTCTTCCCAAGCGAGAATAGAAACCAAACAGCTACGCAATATCAACTATAAAAAACGTTCTACTCACAGTTTTCGCACGCTCCTCCGCATCGAACATCATAGTGTCAATCTATCATCACCAAACACTATGCCAACATCAAATCTACCCTTGAATTACGGATGATACGTGTAGCTCATGCGCATCATTTGACCTTGCTCACCTGTTCAAATCAAGCACGCGCAAGAGGCGTGACAACTTGACTGACAATGCCTTCTCCAAATGGGCCATCTTGCGCTTGTTAAACGCCGGAGGCCGGTACCTGGGTCAACTGGATCTCCAACCTGCAATCGAACAAGCAACTGATCGGTCCTGGATTTCTTCTTCGAGGTGGGATCTGCGGAAGCCTCGCAAAAATGGCAATCAAACGCACGAAAGCAAAAACAAAATGACCTCCATTGGTCCATCCTCCCATCCTCCCGACCATTCATGCAGTCGATCATCCCAATCAGGCCAGAAGTCTTCAGATTCTCCTTGCCAGTCATGCCATCCAGACCAGCAGTCTTCAGGTCCTCCTTGCCAGTTCCAGTTCCAGTCCTATCAAGAAAGCAGCTTGCGTACAGTAATTATCTCAAAATGCAAACCCTTCTCCTCATTCGTCCCCTCCATCAGGTAGGGTCAGCCTCAGCGTGCTCTGCGCTTGCGACAGCGTCTCATATGCAAGCATGTGTCAAATGAAACGCATGAGAGTTGTCTCGCTGTTGCGATGCCCAACGATTTATGCAGTGGTTGTAGAAAAAACTGAGTCCGACGCTTCTGGAAGCCGTTCGTTCGCCAACCAACTCACCGCTTGAGCACACTGGTGGCACATTCAGCAATGACACCAAGCATACCCACAGTCTGCCTTTTTTTCGTGTGAACACAAATTCCGCAAAAATAGTTCAATCAAAAATCAAGCTTTTCCATGCGCCTCCAAGGTTTTACATGCAAAAAAAAACAAGCGCTTGAATGCCCCTAGCGTTGCCATTCACTCCAGCATCACCACTAGCATCACAGCCGCCACAAATAATGTTGAAAAAATAAGCCGCGATTTACCATGCTAAAAAATTCACGCCAAAAAAAACGTCAGGTGCCATGTTCTGGCCGGCGGCATCACCGCTAGCAGGTCGCGATAGCACCGCAAGCATCACCGAAAGCATCACCGCAAGCATCGCCGCAAACATCACCGCAAGCATCAGCGCAAGCATCCCTGCAGCATCACCCACAGCATCACCCAGCTCCACTACGCGATCCGCTCGATTCAAAGCGGGCATTCCCGGCAGGGAGGCTCCACGCGAAGATCCGCGACCTCAAGCGTGAGGCCGCACTGCCCGCTCATCAACCACAGGCTGCGAACCTGCAACCGAACGCGCGCGGTTGCGTGCAAGCGTGGCGGGGCGGCCAGCAGGCGCGCCGGTAGCGTCCCAAAAGCGTGCGTAGGCTGGCAGCTTAGCCTTCAGCAGCCATTCGCCGCCGCGAGACTGCCGCACGGAGGGCAGCAGCCGCTGGCGCACAGCTTCGGGCGTGAGCTTTGAGCCAAAGACGGTCTCGGAGGCGGCCGCCAGCTGCTCCACCAGGTCGTCTTCTGCCCGCTCCCAAAAGAGCTTCGTGGGCTCGTCGGTCGCGAAGCTCACGCTGGGACGCTGGCCCTCGGCAAAAGCTTTGACCTAAAAGGACTCAGAAATCGAATTGCGCAAACCATATTTAGCGCAACCTGGACGTTTGAGGTTGCCGTGGTCTTCTTGCGTGCGGAGAAGGCGTTCAGGCGCTGCGTGTCGCCCTTGCGGAGCATGGTGTTGCGGCGCCGGGCATAGAAGAGGACATAAAACCTGTGCTTCTGAGCGTTCATGGTGTTGAGCACGTTGCAGTACGTGCGAAGCCATGAGAACGTCTGTTCACAGATGCTGGTGTTCACGCCCTGTAGCCTCTTCTCGATTTTCTTGACAACCAAAGGAAAACACTTGCAGGTAGCGGAATGGCCTTTCAGCACGGTCATAGGTGACACAGTTCAGCTTCGGCAGCTTGGGCACACACTCCTCAAGCGTCTTGAAGACCACGGCATTGTTCTCTGGGTGAGTCATCTCTTTCACCCCGACTATCAGGCTAGTCTTCGTGTCGATCAGCATGAACCAGCCATTGAACTTCTTCTTGATGATCCCATCCTTTCGTGCCCTGCCAGCGGCCAGCGTGAGAAGGAGCCTGCGAATCGCATTTGGCTGCTGTCTTTTCGTGTCCATCCATTGCGGCACTGAACACAGCGCTCTTCTCCTGCTTGGACAACACCGACGAATGCCACCAATTGCGGTGCTCCTTGAGCAAATCCTGCGACAAGGGGTTGTCCACATGGATCCCCAAAATCTTGTCGATCCGGTCGAGCTTGCACAATGTTCCCCACATCTCACCTGCCTCTGACAGGACATTGACATAGTGAAGATGTCCTTCGTCACGTCCGCAGATGGGTCGGGAAGGTGGACCCTAGCAGCGGGAGTGCCACTCATGAACTCGCGATGTTTGCGCACCACGTAGTTATGAAGAGGAACCCGATCTCCACTGTCACAGATCCGCACGAGGTGAAAGATTTGACGGCATCGATGCACCTCCCGTTCCCATACGCTTTTGGAAGTAGACACCATGGGGTGGCAAGAAGTGCCGGAGTCTGGGCAACTTTTCCATTTCTTCCTCGTACTCCTGTAGGATCTCATCGAGGAGAATTCGGTGTCGGAAGACTCTAGCTTGGCAAGGAGCTGGACCAGCCATCAAAGAAAACCAGGGATCTCTTACTAGAATTTGTACAATTGCAGCTTTGTATTCAGCCAAGATGCTGTTTCAAGGACCGGACATGCGTTGGTTCATGAACGTGAGCGAGCAGATTAAACCAGTTGTTGTTTGACTACAGAGTGGGATTGTATTGCGTGAGATCGGACTTCTAACATTAGTTTATATTTGTTTATGCTTATAACGAGTACACAATATCATTAATAGAAGGAACATATGAAATAAGACATATGCTACTTTGCCATGAACACTTCCAAGTATCTACTCTGTCACACCCTAGGTCCCTTTTCTCACTCCTGGGCTCGGGGGGAGGGGGGAAGCATGAACAGAACACGTCCCAGTGGCTACTCTATCACACCCTAGGTCCCTTTTCTCACTCCTGGACTGGGCTCCCGGGGGGGGGGGGGGAAGATCAACAAAAAAAATACTCTTCCCCCCCCCCCCAGATCCAAGCCTAGACAGCCCCATGTGTATTCAAACAGTCTCAAGCCTAGACACCCCCATGTGCATTCAAAGGTCTATAAGATCATACTATGGAAGCCCCTACTCTGAAACAAATACAACTACAAACATGCTTGGTCAAAAAACACATGAAACAGAAACAGTGGAAAAACAGGGGCCTCCACAGCGTGACCATCTGTATTAATAATACTAATACTAATAATAACAACAGTAATAATACTAATACTAACAACAATAACAACAATAAGAATAACAATAGTAATACTAACAATAATAACAACAATAATAATAACCATAGTAATACTAACAATAACAATTATAAAACAATTCGTTAAGAAAATGGAAGCCCATGACCCGAAAACTCAGAGCTCAGCTCAGCTCCCTGGACCCGAGAGCCCCGGCATTCAGCTGCCGAGGCAACCGCTCGACGTGGCAGCAGATCGAGGCGGCCTACGAGAGCCGGCCGAACGGAGGCGTCCCCCAAAAAGGACACGGCTCAAACCTCGTGCCGTAGGAGTTCTTTTTTTTTTATGAGTCCCCACTGGGAAACTTTTTGACCCAACCTCGGTATGAGTGTGAACTACGGACCATTTGGTCCTCAAATAAGGAAGGATTCTAAAAAGCCAACGCCCGTGGCTCCCACCCCGCGCCTGCGCTCCTGCATTGCCCATGCTCGGCCATCGCAAGCACGGCCACTAAAACGCCATGCTGCAGCGGAGTCGTTGAGTCTGGTGCATTCCCCCGGTGCGCGCCTCATGTTGAAAATTATCGGAGGTGGTATAATTTTCATGCCACACAAAGGAATGCCATGTCCAGAACTTGCAATCGGCGTGTCTTTTCGCAGCGTTTTATTGGGACTCCGTCAAATATGCTTAAAGCGGACTGCCGCAGTGTCTTTTGCGTGGCAGAGCTCTAGCAGTGTCCCAATGCGGTGGCTGTAAAATCCGTTCGGGCCAGTGCATTCACAGATTACTTGGACAAGAGAGGACCGGGTTTCGTATATGTATATATATATACATATATCATATATACATATATGTATGTCTGTATGCACCTCCCTTTGGACATCGACCCCCAAACTCTTAAAGTGGGTCCAAGAGGTTCTGCTAAAACCCGCCCAAGGGAAACACAGGGAACCCTGTCAGCGTCAAAGCCCCCTGTGAACCCAAAACTGGAAGCACAGACGCGGTACGTGCCAGGCCCCCTGTTTCAACATACTGTGGATGGACGAAATCCATTCCGCAGCAAATGGACACCCAGGGGTTCCATTGTTTATGGGTGTTTGCAGGAAAATTATCATTCCAGGGTTTCTTAGGTAGGATGTTGTCCATCCATTTAAACACGCATTGTTGAAACAGTCTGCTTTTGGCTTCCCTTTGAAGGTGAGAGTCTTGTCACAAATTTTGCTCCAAGCTCCCGGCCTGCCGGCTCCTGGCATCGAACACCAAGCTTCGCTTGGAGATGGCTATGCAGGTTTATGCAGGCCTTATTATCAGCCCCGCAAAAATCAGGTAGAAGCATAACATGGAACCCGAACAACATCCTTTGGGCATCCACAAACCTGTTGAGCTCCATGTGAACAACGTACGGGAGTATCCATAAGCCATAAGCCTGGTAGATCTGATCGTCGTCTCCTTTGACACAGCAACCAGCATGGCCCTCTATTTCGGACATCCCGGCTGCATGCCAAAAAGAGTTGGGCGAGTGTTTCAGGGGGATGGCATTTTTGGGCATGAACCCAAACATCCAACTGTTGGGTAACTGGTCTGACAAAATGACGGAGCATTGTATAGCCTGTCAAGGTGTTGGTCACTAAATAAAATAGGGGCGCTTCTATGGAAACGTCTTCCTGGCTAAACGATCCAGGCATGTTGTATAGCCAGGACGGTTGCGTCTGAAGTATTCAAACTAAAGCCTAAGATGCGCTCAGCATCTGTAGATGCTGTACGACGGCTGAAAAGTACCCGCTGGAAGAGACCGGAGGTGTGTTCTACTCAGTCGACATCATGTTTGGGCGTAGCATGACAGCAAACATCTCAAAGCCCCATGTTAAAGAACCATCATCGAAATCAAAACACATTATCTCCCTGAAATTTTGGGCACATGCCCACATCATAGCGCCTCTGTGATGGAGCTGTCCTCAAGCGATCTGATGATCCCCTCGATCTTGGCCGCGGCTGAGGCTGCGGTGACGGCTTCTGAAGTTGGTACCTGTTGTTGGAAAAGAGAAACACAAGTTCATGTTTTAAGTCGATACTTAGTACTTTTATTCTGTTTTCCAGTAACAGCAGAAGAAGGGCAATACCGCAAAACATGCTGGATCCAATAGGTGTCACAGTTACGACTCGTTCCCAATCTGCAGGTGCCATGAAGTGTGCATCACGAAATCCGTGATATGGTGTACGCTGGAAGAAAGGAACACCAGGTCAAGATGTATGCGGCATGCATCAAGACGACCCTTTTCCCAGTCGTTTGGGACAAGTGTGGCATGTTCAATGTGAGGGAGGCGATCTCAAATCCGTAGTGGACACCACTCTCAAAAGAACAAAACCACTACATACGACCCTCTGGCATATGGATCTTGCCCAACCACTGGGGCGCTGGCAGCATGAGAAATGGCCTGCGACAAATGGGCAAGGTCCGGTCGAAGCTCATGAGATGAATCCCAGGTCTGGGTGTACAGTGTACAGGTGTTGTATACGGTGAGTAAATCTGTGTAGATATGTCAAAGGGTACCTACTCCAGAAACACACCGTCTTGGTTGTAGCTGACAACCTGCCACTCACCGGGCGACTTGTCAGAAACCGGACGCCGTTTTGGACTTGGTGCCCAGGCAGTGGTGGGCGAAACAACTCCGGCTGCACTGTGAGAAACAAATGATCCATTTGCCCGTAGGTACACATGAGGGTTCTTTTTTTAGAAACGAAACGGACCATGGGCGAAGGGTGTGTTACTGGGGTAACTGGGATCCGCTGGAAAAGGGAAGCCCATTTTGAGACAAGCCCATGTCTCCCAAGGAGTCCTTAGCGCGCTGGGATGGTGGCAGCTTCCCCCCCAATCGGTGGTTTGGACTGGTGGTTTGGTGGGTTGAGGGGCGGTTTCCCATCTACCCTCTACAAGGGCCAGCGCTCAAATCCACAAACCACCAATCCAAACCACCAATTCGGGGCTACTTGAAAAATGGCGCTTCACGAGGAAAAACAACAACAAAACACGAGAAAATAAAGGCCTGCTGCGTCTTCACCACCTGCGCGAAACAGGGTTCAACTCGATGTGTGGGTGGTTCTGAAGGACCCCTATGGTGCCGGGATCCTTACAATAAAAACACCTGAACATTGCCTTGTTTTCTGGTGGTTTCCCTTGTACATGGTGGTTTCCAACCTTATTTTGGTGGAAATAGCCATGTTTCAAATGGGCAAAATGCATCTATTAAGGAGCCCTGCGGTGTGCATCCTATTGGTTCCCCTTTCTTTCTAAAGGGGGGGGTTGACCTTTCCAGAATCCCCCTGCTGGTTTCTGCTTCCTAGCTTGGAAACCAAAGTAGAAGCAATGTTAGAGGGGATCATATTGAGGGAACCTGATATTTGTTGGGGTGTTGTGAATGCGGGGCAAAACAACCTGCGAAAAACGCGGACAATCCCATAATTTGCTGGCTTGCACAAATTAAAACCAGTTGTCCTCCTGCCAGATGGTATATATAGTTTCCCTATCTACAACCATTCCACACCATCCAAAGGCGAGTCTCCACTATTGCAAGGCTTTGTCTCTAAACCGGACTCCCCCCCGAATCGCAAAAGCAAACCGAAAGCAAGAAAATGAGCCTTGGGTGCCCGACGTAACCCAAAAACGAACACCTTTCAAAAAACATGCTGCAGTTGTTTCCCTAACAGCAATCCGAACCCTTTGGGGGGGGGGGGTGCAGGGAACGCCTGAGGTTTGTCGGGTTGGCCGTTGTCGGGCCTTGCTGCCGCCCGCAATTTCGTGTTGGTGGGCATCAACCCCCGAGAAAAAAAAAGTCGCACTTTATGTACCAAAAGGTCCCACCTACAACACACCGCGCTCGCAAACCCACTAAGGATTGAGAACAAAAAACAAGTTCTGCAGTCCGGTCGCCTGAGCACGCAAGCATCTTGGTCTTCTCACCAGGGCCTGGCAAGAGATATGAGCAAGGCAAGACGAACACCGTGAGCCACGGTCAAAATCGCTTGTTTGTTTGCCCAGGATGTAGTGAGTTCAACATGTATCTTCAAAATAGGCCATAATCTACTGGAAACTCACAGTTTGACCCAACCTCACATATCGAACTTCCCGCGTTACCATAGAAGTGCGGAAGGAACCCCTTTCTAAATCCGAGAGGAAAGCAGTCTTCCAAAAACAAGTGCCGAACTTTCAGGTTCGTGGGTGGAATTAATTTCTCCTAGGGCCGAAATGTAAACCACGAAAGACCGCCTTTGGAGTGGGCGACCAAAAGGAAACCAAGCATGGCTGGATTTCATGGAATATGCTGACCCCCATAAAGGAAAGGGACAACTCCAAGACCTCAACCTCGATTCTGGCTGCATTCGTGAATGCAACTATTCACGTTTCGTCCGTCACGGGGCGACAAGGACGTGTAACAACCTTCAAGGCGCCTGAGGTGCATGCCAGTCCAACGCCTGAGCAAAGTGGCTTTGTCCTGGACTCCTTGACACACAATTATTGGAACATTTGTGAAGTTCGCAAGATTGGCCTCACAACTTACCCTGGTGCTTTGCTAAACCATCACTGGTTGGAGTCCTTTTGGGGAAAACCACCAAGTATTGGCGGGTCAGAAGCCTTGAAAGGACCACCTGCCCTGCTCCAAGATAAGTTGAGCCGAATCTGAGCTTTCTGCTGCCCTGGAACTGGCCACAGGGCTCCTGCCGGAAAGGCAACGGGCATGGCTTTCTTTGAGTCGGTTCTTGTCGTACGATTCAGCGCTAACCCCACCAAAAACCGTTGGTTCCGGAAACAGCCCCTATTCATCATGGCGGGTTTCAACTCGTGCCATGTCTTGGCCCTAAACAGAGGTCCTGCTGAAGTTGGGGTACTGGATGTTATGGAAACCAAAGGGAAGCCGATGCATTTCATTTTTTGGGGAGGTTCTCTCATGAGACAAACCCACACGTCGGCTTGGCGAGATGCATTTTGCCTTTCGCATGTGACAGGAATTGCTATGTGCCAAGGTCCCCCAATCTTGTTGTCCGTTCTTCATGTCCTTTTCATGTGCCTGTGTGACATGAGTCCTTGTTTGTGAAAAGGACATAAACAAACGAGTGAGTACCTAAAACATTTACTGAGTTGGCCCAACTCCGAAACTGAACCATCAACTTCTCGATTTGTTTGACCAAAATGGCCACCTCGACCAAAGGGAGCTCGCCCTGTGGCCCAAGCTTGTGACGTGGATCCACGTGCGAGGCCGGGAAAGGACATGAACGGGCTATGATTCCACCCTATCACTCGAGGAAACTGTTTTGAAATGAGCCCCAAATCTGATGCCAAGCAAAAGGGAAATATGGTTTTGTCTCATGCGGGAACCGTCCAAATCCCTCCAAGACAATCCCCCACAAGAGCTCCAAAACATACATGACGTATACACGTCGGACCCGAGGACCAAAGCCGAGCTTCCTGTGGTCCTCTAATCCGGGCCAAGGAACGGGAAAGAAAAGGTTGCACGTGGGGGTTCGACACCAAACGGACCA